AGTCAATCACTTGCCACACTGCTTGGATTGTAGCATAGTGATAGAACAACGGCAGTAAATCTGTATTTTATAGAAGCGAAATAAAGGTTTAAAAGATCTAGTAAATCTTTACGTGTTCGAGGGATAATTAATGAGAGATTGCGTGTCTGTGGTGAAATACAACATTAACACTGGAAAATTGTCAAGCTTGTAATGACATGAACAGAGCGCTTTGCTAACAAAGAGATATGCACTGTGGGATCTGGGTCTACAGAATTATGTAGAATTATATTTGTCTGAGTGAGCAGCAATGGGGGACGTTTGCTGACTGTCTTGGCAGCTTTCAGAGAAAAGAGCATGCCATCAGGAGGTGTTCCTTGTCTGGAGCATGTGGAGAGATAGTCTGTCCGTCTGGACTGTCAGCCTGACTGATGAGAGCAGTTATCAGCACATGTGTGTGTGTGTGCACGAACAGAATGTGCGTACATAACTGTGCTGACAGCTACCTGGCAGCCAGCACTTTCAGGTGTTCAAAAAAAACGGAGAATACAAGGCCTTCAAGAATTACTTTCTGGCCCAAACTGCACCTCAGATTTGCACCGTGGAAGCAGCTGCGTGACAACGTGAATCATTTTGTCGACTGTTTGCCTAGTTAATCTTATCTAAAGCATTAAAATAGAGGTGATGAATTAGATTAGGTTTTGCAAGTGTGTGCAAGTGTATGTATACCTTGGGCTGGTGCAGGAGCGCTCTCTGTACATGACGCCTCCACCGCAGGTTCTGGAGCAGTCAGACCACTGAGACCAGGCTGACCACTGGCCGTGCACTGCTCTAGGACCATTCTCTCCATACTTAACACACTGACCCCTCCGACACCACTGACGAAAAGAGTAGGAAGGAAATGAAAGAGAAGACGACAACAGAAATAGCATTCTTATCAGTACTTGAGTGTTGGCCCTGGCATCTTGCCTCTGTTTCCTGGTCTGGAGAAATGCCCAGCACCACACCTGGACACAGAGACTCTCTATCTACAGCCAGAATGCACACATACACATGCACATCTATTGTGCAGCAGACCTGGGTTGATCCAAGCCAAACCCTGCACTCACACACATTCTAAATATCATGTTTCTGTGTGTACAAATCAACTCAATCCATTTGGGAGAGCAGTGCCCAAAATGTGCACCCATGCATGTACGAGGAGCATCGATGGTTACTTTGTCTTATTTATTTAATTATCTATGATCAAAGAAGTATTCAAATTTAAAAAATGCAGTTTGAGCTTAAAGTAAATCCTCGCATCTTTTTAAAGCTCTTTTCGGATTTCGTTTGACTCAATAAAATGCTAATTATTAGGATGCTAAGCAGGAGAATAACATTCTGACTGCTGTGATCTTTCATATAAATAAGGAGACCATTCCTCACCATGTCAGGGCCACAAGTGGTACCTTCTGCAGCAGGCATGAACTTGGTCTCACACCGATGCCCTGTGCGATGACACCACAATGACTTGCAAATGTCCTGTCGAATGAGACACGCAAAGAATGAGACATCCATCACACATGGTGTTTGCTGCTGTTATTATCCGTGGCATCTTTTGGTCAAGAGTTCCTTTCCTTTTTCTCTTCCCTCTACCTGATTTTTGCCAGGACCACCATCACTTTGCTTGATAAGCCCCCACTGCCTCTGGCAGACTTCTCCACAGTGCTTCTGTGTCGAGACTAATCATTGAACTTCTTTAATGAAACCGGCTATAATTGTATGTGTCATCTGACCCAACAATACAGAGACAGAGCAAGCGAGTGAGCACAGAGGGAGAGCTGGGGTCGAGAGACAGGCGGCAGAATCTGGCAACTGGCCCGACTGCAACTGGCAACGAGAATGGAATCAGAAAGGAGGGAGCGAGGAAGCGGGACAGACAGCTCCCTGGTGTGTTCAAGACTTAACCTTAGGCAGATCTACTTCACTGACATAGAGCAGGTGGGTGACCGCTATGGCATCATGCTGAAAGTCCTTGTACATGATAATATCAGGGACAAGAAAAAAGGGTGAAACGTGTGAATGGGACCCTCAAATCCACTGTTAATCAGCATGCAGGTTAATATACCACCTGCCAACTCCTACACAGGTCTAAGAAATGCAAATATAGTATTTGATCTTTTATTATGGAAACGTAGGAGGAATCTGGGGAAGTCGTGAACAGCCAAGGCGTCGTCATGTGGGCTAATGCCATATATACGACTTGGCAAAGTCAATTTCCCAGCAATTACAGCCATGCAAGAAGAAAAGCTCGAGGCATTTTAAATAAAATTTACATGTGAATCAACATCACTGAATGCACCTAGCATAAAGCCTTATACCAAAACAACAAGGGTTTGATGCAGACTGGGGTGGTGGTATAGGGACCCATTCAAATGATGGAATGCATTTTAATGAAGGTCAAATGTGTGTGTGTGTG